AGAAAAGCCATCTTTTATCAAGAAAATCTTTTTATTTCTCTGGTGAGACATAAAAAGTAACCACATGCACTTGTACTTGAGGTTGCAGTGGTTGTGGTCTGCTCAAAGATCTAGAGAAGACATTACTCATTTTGTCATGATGAGCTTGTTTCTGAACTGCTGAGTTTATACTGAAGTTCCTTAAATGCTTTTGAATCTTCTCTGGTGAGAATGTTGCTGCAGGGTAAAGTTGAAATAAAATTCTCTAGTGAAGGATGATGGTCTAAAAACATCAAGAAATGATGTAGATAAGTGTGAGAGGGCAAAGAGGGATGGGAAATTGGTAGCCAAAGTGATCCAGCAAGGCTGAGTAGAGTTTGGAGAATCCCTGCCTAACTTGAGACAAGTGAATCAGGCCTTAAACCAAACTACATGGTCAGATCTCTGGGTAAAAATGAAGCAAATGGGTCCTTTGGGAAAGGACATCAACCTTAGGGAAATACTTGGACTGACACTTCCTAATTGAAATAATGGATTTACTCAATGAGCACGGTGATGTAGTGGTAAAAGATGGGGGTTGTTTCCATTTGCAGGCAGCATGGGAGTCATGCTAAAGCTGCCATAATGGAAGTAGTGTGCCATTTCCCTGGGTGTAAGTTTTATCACTGTTTTTCCATTTGTGTTTTTTTTCTTTAATAACTAATCCAGCTCTGTACAGTCTGAGTGTTGTTTGCCCATTGAGACATTCTGCTGAAGGATGGGGATCCAAGCACTTGGAGTAATTTATCAAGGCAACCTGGAATCCCTACAGTCAGCTAACACTAGTACTGGGTCTCATGATGGTCTGCTCAGAGTATCACAAGAACTGGATGCTTCCTAAACTACTTACTGAATTAGTTGCTTGATCTTTTTAGCAGGAATCCTATTGTTTAATTGGTGGAATTGAGTCACAGAAACTTATTTTCTGTGTAATAAAAACAGTGGCCCAAATTATCCCAAATATTGCATAATTTTTCTATTAAAAACTTTTTATTGAGAATGCAGTTCTGAGATTTGGGGGGGGAGGGGGTTATTTGAAATTAATTTAAAATTGTTAGATCTGATTCTCTTATTAAGCATTCTTGGCAAAATAAAAAGTCCTCAAAAGCTCTGGAAGCCAAATGGGACTGTGAATTGCATTTCCATTTTCAAAAAGACTGTTGGAAAGATAACTGTGTGGGAAGTGATCCACTGCAGGGACAGTCATGCCCTGGCAGCAAGGATGGACCAGATGACCTAATTCTCTTTTCCATTAGAATTGTCTCTGATTGCTCAACTAGTCATGCACTCACATGACTGACAACAAGGATAAAAAAATACGGAAAGTACATCTCCCAGTGAAACAAATAAATCCTGTTATTCTTGATTCCATCACCTTGCAAGCACTGATTAATTGAATGCCACACAGTCCTATATCATTACGTTGGTGTTTTAGATGAAACCCTTAAAACTGACTTGCCATCTGCTCTGTCTGGAATTCAGCACTGCTTCCTCAGCTGCATGAGACATCTGCTTGGTGCAGTTGATGTGTGAATAGAAGCAAGGCTTGAGAAGAAGAGCTCAAAGAAGGACTTGCAGGAATAATATACCCTATTGCCCAGTTTTATTGTTACCTCATACAACTCATCTACAAGATTTTGGAAGTGCAGCCCTGTGCTGACTACTCCATTATCATACCTTGTATGCATATGACATGAGCTTGCTGAGCCAAAGTCTGCAGTTGCTTAGATTGGCCTTAAGATGGCTTTTTTTGCAACTGTTTATAAATCAGCCATGACCTGGTTGTCATGATCCAAAAGGAGACTTTTTCTTTGTTTTTTTTCTTTCTTTTCCCATGGCTTGGTGCTTCTTGCTGGCTGAACAGGCTACCAGTTCTCCCTGAGCAAGGTAGCCCGAGGTCTTTTAGTGTCAGATCTTATCTGCAACATGAAGAATATTGGAATTAGCATTTAGATTATTATCAAGGGATAAGTCTTTGAAATACGTTTTATTAACATAACCTCCTGCTGTAGAGTTGTACATGGAATCTTATTCTCACTTGGTGCATCCCATCTGTAATCATTCTCCATTAACATTATTCACATCATACCTACAAACACAACCAAACATGAAGGCTGAAGAGTCCTGACCATAGCATTCAGATAATACTGGATTACAAGAATGCACTTAGAAACACCTGCATCTGGGTGGAGAAGTGAGAGTGTACAAGATAAAGAACTTTAAAAAGCAGAATATGCAGACCAATAAAACACTTTACTGTTTTGATGGAAACTACACAAAAACACTGTATTGTCTGAAAGAGGATGTTTATCCTTGAGATCCTTCACCACTCTGATTTGCAGTTACTAGAAGGATGCTCATATAGCCAACTGAGATGCAGGAGGAGTTTGCCTCTCAGAACCACTTTGGAAAAACTGTGGTAAGATTGATTTCCTCCTCAGTAAGAGAAAGTGGAGTAGAGTGCTTTTTGCTAGAATTGTATGTCACATGCTTTCTATTACTGCAGAAATCAAGGGCCTTGCAATGCCCAATCTCCTGACCTCTTCTTGTACCTTATTTTTTTAATAGTTGTGGATTGCAGTCTTTGTCTTTACGTATTTTAGGTTAGAGGATGTTAAAAACTTGTCTTTTAGCTTAGATTTATTGTCTACGTATTTTATGGGGCCTTCTGAAATAGATGTCTATTACAGACTTGTGTGTACAAGATTGGACAAGTCCTCTATTCCTTTGGCCCTGGTCATCAGTTCTTTCCTACTCATGTAGCCAAAAGGAGCACTCTCTCCACCCTGCCACCTGTGGGGCCAGAGACATGGACCAGATACAGGGATGTCAGTAGCTTTCCATGCCCTGCATTCGTCTTCTAAAGTATTTTCCTGTGCAAAGCAATCCCAATTTCTAAAACAATGAGAAAAAATCTTGGAGCTCTTAAGAAATAAATAGATACATGTTTATTATAAAAATATCATTCATTAATTTAAAAAATACTGTGATAATTAAAAAGTTTTAACATTTAGAGTCTGACTACTGAAGGACCTTTGTGGAAGGAATGACCAAAAATTACAAATCTTACATTTAACAGCATATTTCCTGTTCCTGCTTGTTTTTTCCCTTGGCTTGTGAAGCTCTCTGATGTTTTCCAATTGGAATAGGGAAATTGCTGCTGTTCAGGGAAACTGCCTCAGAGACCCACTCCACTGAAACAAAAGCAACTGGTAGATGCAGTTTGATGTATTTGTGTTTGGTTTTCTTCCTTGTCACTCAGCTTTCATATCCATTTGCACCCACCCACTCCCAAAACTCCTCCTTGCTATTAGTAATTTGTTTACTTGCTTAATTGAAAGATCTTTGGGTTAAAAACTCTACATATTGCTTCTAAACAGTGTTGTGGGATAAAATGTTATCAGTCTGAGCCTTAAAAATTACAGCAATCCAAAGGCTGTGCTGATTCATATTCCCTGGTAGTGATGTCTGAAGATTTTCATTAAATGGGAATTGCTGGGGTACAAAGTTCCAGTGGCAGCCTGTCTTCCTGGGCCGTGTCTCCTCTGCTGACAAGCAGTTGCTGCACTGGGTACATGCTCTGGATGGAGGATCCCTCTGTGGTCACAGTTATGGGGTCAATTTAGTCCAACACAAATCCATCCTGCCTTTGAAATCGTCTGCTGTCTCATCTCTGCTTGTCCCTAGTGGCCCTCTTAGGCTGGCATCAGACAGCCTGAATGCAAAACCACACCTTTCCCTCCTCCCTTCCCACCCACATGCTGACCCCCTCACTGCATGGCTCCTCAGGAAGAGAAATGCACGGGAGGAGAGGCCAGGAGCACTTCTCCTCCCCATGGCAATGCAAATTAGGATGGATGATGTGGCAACATAACAAAAACCCAGGTACAAGGACTTTAACATCCCTTCTTGTCAGACTCAAGGCAGGTTTCTTTGTCTACTTTGCACGGTATTCTGGGTCTGGTCTTGTAATGTTTATTGTTGGCTCAAAGTGAGTGACACCGGATTCTCACCCATTGGGCTGCATGATCAAAGTCTCTTTAGGAGTAATATCTCCCAGCAGTGAAAGCTCCTGAGTCTCAAACCGCGCAAAAAGAAGAGTTGTAAATAAAAGACAAAAATTTGGATCTTCAGCAAGGAAACTAGCTTGGTATCCTCAGCAGAAGCATCAATCCATATGACACCCTAGCAGGACACAGGCATGGTCAGCAAACCTGTTTTACTACAATTTCAGGTGTTCTGCATGATCCAATTTCTTTCTACCTTCACAAGTTGGGCTTAAGGGTAAAGACAAATTCAAGCATCAAAAGGCAAACCTTGTTTACAGTCCTCCTGTGCTTTATTGTGTGGGAGGCTGTTTCTGTACTGTTCCAGAATGAAATGTCCTGGTAGTGATGCTTATAATCAAGGAAACAGGAGAATATGGGATTAATGCAAGAAACAAGATGAAACAAGATAATTAACCACAGAAAATTAGTTCACTAAAGTTTAACCTATTAAAATGAAACAATCTAGAGCAAGACTTCTATTTCTTTCAACTGAGAAATGGATTTGGACTCCTTTCTTTAAAATTATAACCTAAAAGATGTACCATATTCAGGAGAACTAAAAGGTGGGAAAATAATGAATAATATACCAAATAGTTTCAGTTGTGCTAGTGTGTGTGTACTGAAATATATTTTTTATTTGTAAGTATTTTGTTATATATATTTACATGTGTTTGTATATATATATATATATATATATATATATATATGAGAATTGACGATTTGACTGTGTCTGCTTGCAGATGACTGACTCATTTGATGTTGGAAATTAGTTATAATCAGATGCTAACAACTTTTGGTTACTAAGGACCTAGGCTGACCCCATGCCAGTAACCACACATCATTAGTTGTGAGTCTGCAGTCCTGTGAACCTCTCCTACCTTTGCTTAACTTGGATTTCTGGACTCAAATGGGGACAGAAAAATGTTGTTAAAGTTTTCTACTAAATACATTACTTTAATAATGGTATCTTTGTTGAAGACTATTTAGAAACCACATTTAACAGCAATTACTGGTCATGTTGTCTGGAAAAAACATAAATAAAAGTCTAAATCTTTAGAGATAAACTCCTCTGTTCTGGGTGTTTTTGTACACAGGTAAGAACAGCCAGTTTACTTATTAATTAAACTTTTCAAATAGCTCATTTGAACATGGTTTAAGTTACAATAGGAAATACTATAAGCTTGCACAGTAAACAGCAATATAAAAGCAATAAAGTTATACAAAGTAAAAAAACTGCTCAGGTTTATTTACTGCCATATATGCAGTATCTTTGCATTAATAGGAGCAAGACAAGTAATATACATTTAAGGATCTTACAAAACATCTCACACTTAAACTGTTTCTCTGCATTGCATAAATTGCACACACACATTTATAAAGTGCAGTTTGTTTATGCCTTCATACTTTACTGATTATGACTTTTTATAGCTTAACATCATGTCTCCATTGCTCTTATCATTACACAATGCTGTCAGCCACTAACAAGGCAAATATTTTAATAAGAGCAGCTTAGTTTCAATAATGCTTTACAGTCATAAAACCATTAAGGCTGGAAGGGACCTATGGAAATTACATGGTTCATATCTCCTCTCAGAGCAAGTCCAACTTCAAAGTTACAGGTTCCTCGGGGTGTGTCTTTCAAACACACATAATGCTAAGTCATCCCAATACTCTACATAGCATTAAAAGCATTAATGCAGTCAGTTGTTCTCACGAATCCACTAACACATTAAAGTTATCTTGTGTTAAAACTAGCCACTATACTTGTTTCATCTTACATAAATAACAATGTTGCTGGGATTTTTTTCTCTCAAGTCCTTAATTTCTTTTCATACTATCTTTTTTATTTTAGACTCCTTATTGCATAGCCATTAAGTACAAATTTATTTGTACAGTTGGTGGTGGTTTTATTCTTGGGGAACTACCATTGCATTCTGGAGACTGAGGCTTGGTGAATTATGCTTTAGACTGTTTCTTAGATACTCAGAAAGCCAATAGTCTGTATTCTCAAGGGGAAAGGACATGTATCAGCAGTGGTAAGTGAAAAAACCTGTCCAAGAGCAGCACACTAAAATTCAATTAGTTTAATTTTTTTCTAATCACTTTAGTGTTGTAAAGGCCCTGAAAATTGATGTTTTCTTTAATTTCAGTATAATTGCCTCAGAAACAGCAGCAATGCATTCTTGCTTACACTGGCTACAGCAATGTTTTCATCAAAACACACAGACAAACTGACTTTTGACAAAAAGGATGGTTTAATTTACAGTGGATAATCCGCTCATCTTACTGATTCTTACTGGGAAACGATTCCTTCAGCAAGGCCTCTTCCAGCAGAGCTGGAAGATGCAGGCACAGACATCTGATCAGTCTGTAATCCTGGCAAAGGCACTAAGCAGGATGACCACTGTTACAAAAGTCCAGAGGTCTTGTGCAGACACTGCTGCCCTTACATGGAAAATGTAAGTGGAGCCCTTGGGATCCCACCACAAGCGTTCGCCTGTGTCTCAATCTTCCCAGCCAGCTGTCTTGGAGAAATCTTCCAGACAATCCAGAATTCCAACAACAGCAGACCTTGATTCTGCATAACTACTTATGCTACTCCTTTTTTTTAACCTGTATTTGTGAACACAAATAAATTTTAAAAACGCAACCAGCCAACAACATAAACTATAAGTGTAGCTAAGAATTCAGTGTGATTTAATTACAAACACAAACACTGACAAACCATATTCAGCATCATTTAACTGGTCAAACTGGAACAGTTTTTGTGAAGCTCAAAGGGAAAAGGAAAGGGGAAGAAGGTATCAAGGAGACAAGAACAAAAGCAAAAGCTCTGATGGCACTACAGAGCTTGTTTTTTTTTTTTCCTCGTAAACTTCTTCCTGGTCACCTTTTTGACCTTCTCATCTTTCATGGCCCTTTTTATCACCTGTTTCAGACTTCTTTGCCCTGAACCCATGGGTCACGTTTTCTCAGCATCCCAGATAAAGCAAGAAAAGTTGCCCAGTGTGGACATGTGACAGCAGAGAAAGTTTGATTCAGCTGAAGCCAGGTACCCAACTAGCATAGGATCAGAATTAGGCTTCCCCTGTGTGTCTTAGAGTTATGAACTTTAGCCTTTGAACTACATTCTTGATGATATTTGTCACATATTTCCTCACCAACTTCAAAAGTGTTTGAGTCCTTTAATTACAGTGCTGTTTACCTACTATCTTAACTAACAGGCTCAGAACAGGTATTTTCTCAAACACTCCCCTATTATCTTTTCCCCCAAGTGCAAAAAAAATTTATGAAGAGCCATATTAACATCCCTGGTTATATATAAATCAGTATTATTTTGTGAAAAAATATCTAAAGAGTAATAAGCAAGTATGAAATTCTGTCCCAGATTTGCAGAAAACTGTGCTTGTGCTTTCTGCTTTAGAGACCTTAGAAACATCTGCCTACCAGTTCTTCACCAATAATGCTTTTTTTCTCATATGTGAGAAACCCAAGCTTGGTGCCATTTTTCATAAAGAAAATTACCTAAGATAATCACTTTAAAATGGGTCTAGCACTGTGCTTGTTTTCAGGTTATTTCCCAGTCCTTTTAAATTGGTGCTTTAAGTCAGTGGGTGTGTAATACCTATGAACACTTGGCTCTTGCATTGCGTATCTAATATATATCACTGTCCGTGCTCTACCACCGAAAATTGATTCACACACAAAAAGGTGAGGAGACTTAGACAGAGTCTCTTTAATGGTACCTTAAGTTAGCTACAGTTGAAGTATTTTGGCCTGTGGTTTCCTTACTGTGCCCCATGAGCCACTGATATGGACTTGACAGAATCACATGAAAACATGGTATTAGGTATAATTTTAATAATAGCATGCAATAAGTTTTCAGTGTTGACTACTGACCTAGTCTGACATTTGTGATTACAGAATTACCAAAGTGCTCCCAGCTGCCTTATGATGGCAGAGCTGTGTTACCAGGGTGATCCAAGCTACAGCTCAATGAATAACACAGCCAGCATATTTGCTGAGGGCAGGTCTCTCGAAGCTCTCTACTGCCACTACACAGAATAAACTTCCAACCAAACCACTGCAGGTAGGCCAGGAGAAGGATGAAGAGCCTGCACAAGGTGTAGGAGGGAACATGCCTTCTAGCAGCACTGTCCTGAAGCAGAAGTGTCTCTTGGAAGTGCCCTTCTCTCTCGTCTTCCTGCTGTGTGCCCGGTATCAGATCTGGCTGGTGAGCGCATCCCAGAGCAGTGTAATCGGGCAGGGCTGGGGAGTGGCGATTCTGTGAGTCACATTTCAAGCACACGGAACTGAAAGCCCTGGAGAGAAGAGAAATGAGGCACCATGAAAATGAGACATCAAAGGCATATAAATAAGAAAACATATTAAAAAAATGTTGAAATCTGATGGGCAGATGACTTGAATCACACACAGGTCTTAAGCAGTTCAAATGCAGCTCTGTCACCAAAGCTCCATCATGAGGCTGGCCAGGCTGGGTCACCTGGACCCTGACTGTTGGATGAAGTGAGCCAGTGGTGCTTCCAAGCCTGGTATCAGTAGGCTGTCTACAAGTCCAACACACGGGCAGGCCCATTTTGCAGTGGTGAACTGCTGTCCCAGATGCAGGCTGCTCATAGAGATTTCCTTTTCTTGTTGGAAACAGGTGGTATGTGTGAATTCTGGTCACATGAAGATTTTGACAGTGTTCATAGACCCAAGACATTTGGTGAACTTTTCTTTGTAAAGAAATTATTTAAAAATAAATCCTTTTGGTCTCACTCACATACTCAGGAGAGCTATTTCATCTGAGAAAGAACTGTGAGGACTTTGATCCAGATTTCCTGCTCAGTGCAGGCACTTACACCTATCCAGAGTGTGAAGTACTTGCTAGCCTGGAGCAGCAATGCTTCACACTTATATTGCTCAGATATCAGTGAGTTGACAGGGTCAAAAATAAGTAAGGAGAATGAAATCTCTGAGCTTGTTGATAGCTTGTAGACACTAAGGACTGCAGCAGCTCAGCAAAAAACTGTCTGCATTCCTCCATTTCTGGGGTAAATGGGTTCATTCAGTCTGTGGTGTGTAATTTAGGGTAACTCTGCACTGTCCTTCTGCTCCAAAGTCACCAGGTCACTACATGACATCCTCTTGTTCTGATCTTTCCTCTCTGTTGGGGCTTTAAGATAGTGCCCAGAGAAGCATTAAGACAGGCACACAACTTCTCATTTTACAGAAGGAGAATTGCTGCAACATCCCATCACAACAATTTTTTCAAGAGCATCTGATTCTGCAGGAGGCTCAGGACCCCAGTTCTCACTGTCGAACCCAGAGAAAATGCAAGGTCTGATCTGGTTGGCTGAGGCATTTATCTCTTTTCAAGCAACTCTTGATGATGCCTCATTCACAAGTGTGGTCTACTACTGCTCTAATTAGGAATAGCAAGCAAAATCTAATGCTACATTCCATGTATTCCATGAATTGCTCTGTGTTTGAGGTATTGCCAAAAAACCCTAGAAGGCACAAATCCATTCCAGCACAGCCTTTTTCTAGCCCACTCTTTTTCTGTTTCTTTGTAATGCAGATGGTACAAAATCCGATACATGAATTTTCCATAGCATGTTGAAGTCTCCACTTACACTTAAATCCCATACTGTCAACCTAGCTTGCAAGGGAAAAAAAAAACCAGGAGCGCCACCCTTCAACTCTCATGCATGAGAATAGTTCTCACTTGTGAAGCCACTGAATACTGATTTCAGTTTGCCCAAAAGAGTTTCATTTGTCTATTTCATACTATTCTAAGCCTAAACAGGAACTCTTCATATGTATATAAAGACATAGAACACACGCATACACACAAATGTAGAAGCAAAACAGTCTGCATAAGGTAGAATGCCAGCAGATCCTTCCAAACTCAAACATAGGCAAATTCAATTAGTTAAATGTTTTGGGGTGGTTTGTTTTGGTTTTTTTACTATGGTAGGTGTCTAGTTGTCCAGCTGTCAGGTTTTGCTTAGGACTATACTGGCAGTCAGTTCCCTCTGCATCTCATACACCAAAATAGTACAGCTGGAGACTGGCCACATTTCATTACTTTCCACAAGGTCCACATTTGCTGCCTTTATACTAACAATACTCCTGGAATAATGTCTGGTCCTAATGTCTGATCAAAAATACTGCCCAGAAGAAACACATTTTACCTTGTGCCAAGATTCTCTGTTCTTCTATTAAATTTCACATCAAAGAAGCTTTTCCTAGGAGTGAAAAAATAATCAATAAAAATATCGATGTCCCCTGAAGAGCAGGAATTGATACCAAAGATGTTAACTTCCACCAGTGTCTGTGAAAGCTGTTGGGTGGGTAAGAGAAACCACCAGGATATATGTTAAATCATCAGGATGTATTTTAGAAACAGAACGCAACAAAACCTGGGGATTTAACATTAGGTCCAGTTCTTTTTTTTTTAGTTTTTAGGGGCTTTTTTTGTATTTTTTTTTACTGTAGCCATGAGTGTTACCAAACAATTGCACTGATGAAAAGAAAATCTGATGTCAAATAAACAAAGCCAAAATATTGATCCTTTAAGCTTAAGAGGAAGTATGTTTCTCTGTGGCATTCACACATATTTATAAATGTGATCAAGCAGAAGAGAATGTGTCTCTCCATTACACACTGCAAGGTCTTTTCAGGCCAAATTTTGTGAAGTGTGTTCAGTGGAACCTGAAGCCACATGACCTGTTAACATTGATGCTAACAGAACTGTCTAAATTACAAAAAATTATTTAGGATGAGTTTTAAAATTAGATCCTGCTTCCATTTAAAGCAGTGTCACAGCTCTTGTTCTCTGAACAGGGCTGGGATGCCTGTGAAAGTATGAACCATCTTGCCAGAGTGTATCCACAGCTGTCAGTAAAGGTGAGAAAGGCATGTGTGGAACTACCCAGGAATTCATAAAGTTAAGTGGTTTGTATTCATCGTGTTGCCGTGGAACACTAAAAAAAACCTCTGGAAAGCTCCTGAATGTCTTTGCCAAGGACACCTGGTGAATCTTAAATACGTCTTTCCAGTTGTAAGATAGTAGTAAGCTTTAAATATGGAAAGGTGTTTTCTGTTTCTCTTAACATCCCTATAGGACAAAAACATACCAGTGAGATGGCAGAAGTATTTTCATTATTGATACATAAACATGTGCCACCTTTCCTAAAAACTGGAAAGGAAGAGATGGAAGACTGGCAGCACCATCTCCTGGTAGATAAAAGAAATTGGGACCTCTGACACTTTGTGTCAAAGGTAGGGCCCAAGTAATTTATTAGCGGATTTTAAAAAGGCTGAAGCAGGAAGTAACTTCACAAGAGTATATCCCCTCCCTAAAAAGATTAACTTTGATATGCTTCAGGGAAGAAAAGCATTATGTGTAATTATAATTATAGAGAACATATGCTCACAATAATGAAGAACAAATTCAGGTTGCTTCTGCTTTTAAAAAAGCTCTCTCATGTGCTTTCCTTTGTGATGCAGTTATAGCAGATTTCAAAACTAGCACAGCAGGTAAGTCCGTCCAGTTGCAGCATCTTTGTGTGGTCCTGGAAGACCACAGGAGACCATAGAAGTTTCTCGAAGTCAGAAAATATTGGAATATGTATATTTCAAGAGTTGTAGCCAAATTTCTGTCTTTCTGAGTAAGCAGGGGAAATGTTGGGAAATCATTGGATCACCAATGTTGAAATGTTGGGAACTCCTGGATCACTAATGTGGAGTGCTATTTTACATATTTTGAAAGTGACAATAGAACAAACAGCGCTAAGTAAGGGTGAGGTTTTCAAAGTAATGAAATGCTGTATGGGAAAGAAAAACATCTGTGGAGATAAAAGAGAAGACTAAGTCAGATGACCTTGTGAAAGACAGACATGGAAGAGTGGAGGGAAAAAAGGTAAGGAAGAGAGAAATTATAGAAACTTCAGAACTGGTATGCCACAGGAGTCCAGATCTCATTTATCAGCAAGCGGGAGAAGACAACCTCAGCAATCAGGCCAAAGTATACTACTCTTCTGCCTGTTAAGTCCTGTTCTTGCTGTTTGGTCTCCTGTTCCGTGGTATGAAACAAACACAAAACCCTCCTTGTGCAACATAAACACAGATGATGTTTTGGTGTTGGAGTTTTTTTCCATGTTTTGGAGGTTATTTCACTTTGAGAAAATCCCAGGTGCTTTTAAAGTTGGTTTTGTTTTCTTTCTGCAGATGATCATGAAAGTGGAACAGATTTATTAATTTATTCATTCCATCCTTCTCCCAAAGTATGAACATTTCTTACAAGGCACTGCACTTCCCAGGACTTTGCCCAACATAGATTGAAAAGCCACATGTAACATGGGTTTCAATAATTCCCACGGGAAAATATGCAGCTTTATGAAGCCTACATCTCCCACATGGGTGGGGAGGAGCTCTGCTTATCTCTTTAGCTCAGAACCAAGATCAGGACTTTTTCCTCGGTGGGGGGGGATCATTTACTCTTCAAACATTCACAAAACACCATCTTCCTCCAGGGCATGCCACAGAATCCATCTTCTTTTCCGAACAAACTACTAATCTGTGTACTTTACGAATCACCCTGGGTAGTGGGTTTACCTCTTTTACCAAACAGTTGTTCTTAAAGGAACCCTTCTTGTGAACAGCGTTAGTTATCCAGCTAGCTGTCACTCCACATCTACAGCTTTTATTATTAACACAGGGAAACACATTCACTGCCTATATATATAATATTTTTTTATTCAATGTGCTGTACTTGTGCTATTCTTCACAAACATACTACAAACATGCTGTTTCTCATTAATTTTTAATGATATCCTATGTATTTAGAATATCTTGTTTAGTCCATACTCACATTAATAAAATGGCTCAAATTCCTTACTGTGGGAAGGAAAGAATGCATTTCTATTAATACTGAGTATCAACACACTCCAAAAATGGTCTTGTACTGAACACAAGATTATATATTTATATAAACAAATTAAGATTTAAAAAAACCCCACTCAGACATGCCATTAAATTAACCTACTTATGCCAAATCAGTTATTGTTATTAATGTGGATTAAACTATATTGCTAAATCAGTGACAATTTTCATAATTACTATATACTGTTATGCTATTTTTAAATACCAATAGTCAAAACACTTTTATCTAACTACTCCATTGTGATGGGCTCTGTCAAAACCCAAAGCACAGTTCTATAACCCTAAAAATATTTACAGGCAATCAACGTTTATTATTAAAGTGTCCTTGTGAGTTAAGAAGTAAATGGAAGGAAAAAACCTAGTAAGCAGGAAAATTCAAATAATGATAGAAAAGAAAACTTTTTATCTGGCTTTCTGTATCTTCCTTCACAAGTTACAAAACTTGTGAGAGATAGGACAGTCTAGCCATCGATAAAAAATAGATCTGTACTGATACCTCTGAAGTCCAATATGTGATGTGGAAGTTGGGATAAATAGTTCACAGATAGAACAATGGCATTCCAAAAAGTTAAATCTAAAGTTGATTCTAAGACTTGAAGAAAGATCCTGCGATATTAAATCACATCTGATAAGATGGCAAATGAAAACTGATGTTTATAAATGTTATATGTAACCTTCACCAAATACTTACAATGATGAGTACTTGTTTAGTTGTTATTAATCTGAAGACATCTTAGAAAGCTGGTGAAGTATCATCTACCTGAAACTTCAACTCTACTCAGTGGAGGTCAAAAATTACAGAAAGTCACTAAAATCAAGACATGAGTAGAGGAAAATTATTTATTGCATACTTCAGAATGGCTGTACTATATAAAAAAACCCCAAAAAACCACAAACCCAAAAACCAAAACCAAAAGCCAGAAAGAGGTTTTAGATTAAGCACAAGCATGGATTAATCACACACAAGGGAAGGCTAACCAAAATTAAACATTTCATTTGGAGAAAAACCTAATCAAACCTGTAACTCAGAGGGTTATGGTAGATTTCATGAATGACATTGAAGGAAAGAGCCATAAAATCATAAAACCCAATAATAAATAATTTTCAAGAAGATCTGAAATAATCTAATATTACTTCAATAATCTTAGTGCACAAAGTGCCAGAAACTAAAACCCACCAACCAAACTAGCTGCAAAACCAGTACTGAGAAATGATAAAGCTATGGTAGAAAACCCAAAAGAACCTCTGAGTCTGTGTTCCTCTGTTGGAACACTTCATCACTGGCCTTATTTCTGATCTGATTCAAATGGAGATGTTGACTTAAAAAGAAGTTCATGACACAAAACAAACAACTTTGAGACAAATTCTCAACAGACACTTCTTACCCAATAAACTCAAGGATGCAATAATTTGCACAGTGCAGTGAAATTCTAACTGCTGGCTTAAAACTTTCTTGGCATCTAAGAAGTAGATTGTATCAAATGTTACATTTGTTTTTTGATTGTTTCTAAGGGAAAGCTGGAGAACTCGTGACCATTCAAAGTGACACTATTCCTCAGAGAGTAGTACAACTATAATTAGTGCATGCGTGGGGAGATGTGATTTACCAGGGAAAGGTCAACAAGGGTTTTGTCAACATTGCTCTTGCCAAAAGAAGTCTTGCTTTATAAACTGAGATTTAAGTCTTTTGAATGTGTCAGCAAGCATTTGCATAAGGGGGATTGCAGAGATACAGTTTCCTGAGATTTCTCAAAGACTTTCAAGACTTTCTTGCTAAATGTTCTAAAGGAGACTAAGCAACTACAGGACAAGAGAGAGGATCCCAGCATGGATTGAAATGCAGTTAAAAGACCAAGTATATGGTCAGTTTTCACTATGAAAAGAAGTCACTAATGCACCTTCACATCTCTGCACTTATTCATAAATACTCCAAGTAAGATAAGGAGTGACAAGACAGAGATTGCTGAAGATATGTAATTCATGAAAGGAGAGAAAAGGTGTGGCTGAGAATTCCAGAAAGACCTGCCTCTATTTAGGGCTCACACACACCCACTGATGATCCACGATATGGGGGACACATTTGCTCTGGCACAGGACTCAACAGGGACCCCCAGACTCTTCTAAAGCTTCACTCAGACCCTCTGTGTCATCTGGAATAGCACTGGACACCTCCATGTGGGCAACTGAACAGAGATCTCAGTGCCTGGCAGGAAAACAACAGATGATCATGAAAACAGACCAATGTAAATCCATGCACATGGGAACAAAACAGTCCTGCATCACATGTGGAATAATGCTGTCTGAACTGACCACTACATATCAGGAGGGAGAGCTGGGAAGTTTAATGTTATTTGTAGGACAATGCCAGCTCAGTGGAGATCAACAGCACATTGAATATTAGAAATATTCACAAGCAATATTGAAAACAAGGCAGGGAATATTGTTATGCCACTTTATAAATCTACTAGATGCCTCTGTCATGAACACCATACGGAGTTCCAGTCCCACTGTCACAAAGAGGAATAACAGAAATGGTAAAGTTCAAATAGCAGCAAACACTTCATTGGAAAGAAGATTTCACTTAGACTTGTCAGAGTGCAAGAGGAGCCTTACCAGACTGCAAGGGCATTTCATGGAGGCTCTGAAGTGGTGACTGGCATAGAGAAGATAAACTTGATGTACTGTCCTTTCCCAAGCAAGAAGCAGGGTAAGGTCATCACATGGTGTCACAGAATGTCAGGTTGAAAACAAGGAAAGTGGCCGTTCATACACACAGCGACACTGTGGGACTCCCTGCCACAGGATGATATGGATGCTACAAGTTTACAAGCAGTAGGTCACAGAAATCACAGAAATCATAAAAATCACAGAAAGGACAAAGTTGGAAGGGACCACAGTGGAGCATCTGGTCCAACCTCCCTGCTTAAGCAGGGCCATTCCAGATCACATGGCACAGGAATGTATCCTGGTGGTTCTGGAATATCTCCAGTGAGGGAGACTTGACAGCTTCCCTGGACAACCTCTTCACAGTCTACTGTGTGAGTACTGAGTCACTCACACAGTAAAGAAATTCCTCCTCGTATTCAGCTGGCACTTCATGAGCATCAAATCAACTGAACAAACATATGGAGGAGGTATTGTGAGGGCTGCTAAACAAGACACAACCTCTGATTTCAGGAGTCACTAGATGCAAATTGTTGGAAGATCAAAGCAGACCCACTGGAAGTTTCCCCAGAAGGTTCACCTCTTACAATCCTCTCGTCTTTGGGGACAGGAACTGGGAGACACACTCTTATTTTATGTATCTGCCTTTATGGTGCTATGAAAAATTTAAAAATGAGTGATTTTATTGATGCTTTTAAAAATATTTCAGGTTAACTAATGAGTAGCACAGCTTAAGCAGGATGGGCAATGGGGACATTTTTTTCCTCCATTTTTGCTGAGTACATCACTTACAATCATCTTTGCTGGAGGCATCTGCAAAAGGTAAGAGATCCACCTAATTCTGGAGAACATTAACCAGAGCACTTCAGCACAGCTGCAACACAAGTTGCAACACATTTTCTGTGCTTTTATGTCAATAAAGCATGCTCTTTGGGAACACTTGAGTCATGGACCATTCACTTATTATTTGTAGTAAGTGCCACAATCCTCAGTTCTGCTAAGGAAACGACACAAAACCTTGGAAAGTCACTGAGTACAATCACTCACATGGGCAGGGGAGAAGCAGCAAATGCAGTTGTGAATGGCATCACTGAGAGTGCAAGGCCTGAGAGCAGCAGGGTCCTACCCAGGCAGATCCACACCTCAGAGAGGGGCTGTCCCAGAGAGCACTGCAGAACCCAGAGCCTTATCCCTTTCCAGGGTCTGTTCCTGCCCTGGGGAGGCCGTGAGGGGGCTGTGGTGAGGATGTCCCAAGAAAGCAAGCGCTCTCAGAGGAAGAACAGCATTGCCAGCGAGCAGGCACTGGAACAGACTGTCCAGAGGCTGTTGTCTCCGTTCCTGAGTACACTCAGGAACCAGCTGGATGCGGTCCTGTGCCATGCGGCCCAGGATGACCCTGCAGGAGCGGCGCCGCGGTCCGTGCCGCCTCCCGCCCACAGCGCAGCGCGCACCGCCCCCCGCACCGCCCCCCGCCCAAGATGGCGTCCCCGCCCGCCCCACAATGCCCCGCGCGCAGTGCCGCGCTTCCGGGTGTGGGCCGCGGAGGGCGGCGGGCCCGGCGCGGCGGGCGGCGGGCGGAGCTGCTCCGAGCGGATGCGAACAGCGGGCGCGCAGCACCGGAGGAGGCCGCGTCCGGACCATGATGCTTCGACTGTGGCTGGTCCCGGCCCTGGTGCTGCTGTGGGGGCCGGGCGGGCTGGAGGCGCTGGGGCACCCGCAGCGCCCGCAGCGCTACGGTGAGGACAGGGCGCGACCACGGCAACCCCGGAGGGGAGGGGAGAGGGGAGGAGGAGGGAGAGACCACTGCGACGATGGTGGGGAGGGCGCGGCACCCCCGCCTCTGCCATGGGGGAGCGGTGGGCGATGTGTGGGGCGGGCAGAGCGGCCCTGGAGCGAAGGCATCGCTGGTGGGCAGTGCTGGGATCACTGTGGGGACACACCGCTGTCTTCACACTCGGTCTGCTGAGGAGTTTCCTCACAGGAGTTCGCGTTCTGCTGAGGCGGGACAGTCCCAGAACAGGTCGGTGGAAGGGACCGCAGTGGGTCATTGCTCCAGTGTCCGTGCTCCTGCAGGGTCATCCTGGATCGCATCCCACAGGATTGCATCCAGGCGGTTCTGGAATATCTCCAGGGAGGGAGGCTGCACAGCCTCACTGGGCAAAATCGTATAAATGGCCTCCCTTCACAGTTCTGCTTGGAGAGTCACCAGAGAGCCCGAAGCCATTGGAGCTGAAAGTGACCTCTAGAAAGGCTTGACACGGAGGAGAACCGCTGCTTTATTTCACTTCTATAAACAGTTTTGCGTCTAAGCTTCTGCTTTGCAGTGAACAAGTTGCAGACTTTCGTTTGATAAGCAAAAGCTTATCACTGAAATGGCAGATGGATTCTTGCACGAGGCAGTGGCCGTGTCTTGCCCTTAAGATCCGTATCTTGCATACTTCTTGGATCCTTGTCTTCGCTCTATTTTTCCTTTTCTCTGTATCATGGTTCCTCATCACTGGAGCAGCAGAATTATTGTTTCCTTTGAAAGGTTTTTAAAGGAAAAATATCTGACCCCCACATGAAAACCCCTGTTTTGAAAATCAAAGGTACAAAACCAATTTTGTGATAAGTTCTGTTGCTTTCCTTGAGCCCATTGTTGTGTGGGGTGGGGATTCACATTGGGATGATGCTGACATTCAAATGAACAACTGAACTGTCTAAAGGCAGTCTCTGAACACTGTTCCAGTGATTAATCAGCTGTACATCCCCACAGAGATAGCTGTCCTGTCTCCAGTCACCGAGGCCAGCAGGGACTGCTCCAAGTCTCCTTTCTTGGCTTAGATATCTCAGCACATTTCCTGAGAGATGTCTGACCTCTGCCCTCCTCTCCTGCACCTGAGGTGGATCTGTGCACACCTCAGCAGTTTGTGGCTGTAGGAACCTGGGAAGGATGGGGCTCAGTGGTGGATGCCCCAGGAAGTGTAATATTAATAAAGAGAGCGTGTCCTTTCAGCATCAGGCAGGTCAGGGGGGTCCTGAACAGCGGTCGCACCTTGGGCTGTCAGACTTTCACACCTTCTGAAGGACCTCTCTGCTATGAATTCATGCAGTCTTTATCTGGTGGCTTTTATCTTCTTGGCCTACGTGCCACTATGCCTGGACTATGAGCTCTTCAATTTTATGAAATACTGCATGGAGGAAAACCTCATTTCTTCTGTTTCTAAATGTTGGAAGAATTATTCATTTTTTTCACACCTGTAGTGACTTACATACATATGCAATTTATCTCATTTGTACTACTGTTTGTTGTTTAAGTGATAAAATATTAGTCCATATAATAATTCTTAGTATGAGGAAAGCATCCTGACTTTATTGATTACTTTTGTCTGTATATTTTGGGTTGGATTTTTATTTATTTGAGATGTATGGTCAGGGCTGCAAGACACCATTTGTAATACAAAGGCAGTATAAATTTATAATTATGAATGCTTTTGATTTTGTTTCCTTTCTGAGTAATTTTTGGTCTTTAATAGTCACTCCAAGCTCTCTTTTCTTTGTGTTTTTTGTTTGTTTGTTTGTTTGCTTTAGAGTTATTTTCTTTGGTGGGGGTGGGTTTATTTGTTTCTGTTTTCTTTTGGTGGGTTTCTTTTGGTTTTTTTTGGGTTTTTTTGTTTGTTTTGCTTTGAGTGGTAATAATTGTACCGATATACTTTGTTGTGTAAATACTGTGGGGAACTCTTTTCCTCACATGTTATTTCACACATTCACACTTTGAATTTCATCACGTTTTGTTTTGTTGTCCATCCAGTAAACTAAATTTACAAAAGTATTTTGTGAGGGAATTTGAAAAATCGATGTGTGCTACATTAGCTGTTACTTTTATCCACACACTACTGCCAGATATATTACAAACATATATATATATATATATATATATATATATATATGTATAGGAGGCACTACTTTCCTGGTATCTTATTTAGCCCCCCCAGTTCTAGTAACTTACATGTTGTTATTGTTACCCGTTTGCCGTTGGGACATTGAATGTATTTGTTGATTAGGCCCTTAGGTAGTACCTGGAGTGGAAATTGGTCTGTTCAGACCTCATGCACTACACCAGTGGCTCTTTAGTCTCATACCACAGTTAGGAGTTGACCAGTTCTATTTTTGCAGTGTTTTGTAACTCTTGGGGTAATAAATTCATATCCTGTTGATTTATTGGTAATTTTCTTGAGTTGTTTTAAAGCCTCTTTTCCTGAGTCTTGAACACAAGTCTTTACATGTACCCTTTCATGGCAAAAAGTTATTTTTGGGGAACTTTTTATCTCCTCTGCGGGGAATACCAAGGTCAGTTATTGGTACTGGCCTTTAGCATCCATTCTTGGGACTGTCTTTGCATCTTACTTGTTTTACAAGCCCCTTTGGTTATTTAGCTGTGTGGTTTCTTCTCATAAAATGAAAAAATATTTTAAGTATTAGCTTTCTGCCTTTTATAAGCTGCTTTTAAAAATACCTTTGCCTATTTTATTGTGGTTTTATGTTCATCTTTTGTTGGAGTTCTGTTGTCCTCATCTTACAGCTTGGTTTTCTAAATATCATCTTTTCCTTCTAATAATTTCAGTGTTACCATTTTGAAAGCTTTGTTTATCCACAGCTTAATTTTTGGGAACCGAAATCAGATTTCTGCTGAGCACTGTAAGGAAGTTTCATGAATTAACATTTTGTGATTTCTATTGAGAACTTCTCGCTTATTACTCTGAGTTCAGTTTTTCAAGGAGGAAAAAAAAATAGACAGTGAAAAAAAAAATTTTACAAAGAATAGAATAAGTGATAAAATGATGTGGGTCATTTTCCAGCTTTTTTTGGCTGAAGTAATCTTAGGGTGTGGTGCTCCAGGAGTCTAAACTGATCTAAAATGAGACTGCCACAACCTGACCTCAGCTTTCCAATCCCTTCCCCATTCCTGTGAGCACATTCATGGAATGTGAGCTGTCTGGAAGTTAATCTCTTTTTTTTGTTTGGTTTCCCCCTTTTTGTTTTGTTTTGGGGTTTGTTTGGTTTCTAAATCAGTTTTTTGGGGGGGTTTTTTAGTGGTTTGGGGTTTTTGTTTGATTTGTTTTGGTTTATTTTCAGTAAAGGATATATTTTCTCTCCGTGAACTCCATTATTGTGGAGCAGTTCACAGTGTGACTGTCCAAGCACCTGCCCCATTGTTTTTGGGGGGTGGAAAGGGTTGTGTTCCAGGTGAGGGATGAAGGCAGAATAATTTCCAGCTCAGTTTGTCTTTAGGTATACTCTTTTAGTAATGTTGACATCCAGGATCAATTTCTAGAGAAATGGGGCTCTACTACACAATACAGTGACTGATACTGTAGTTTGGCCCCAGAAAAATTAATGGCAGCTCTTTCAAGATTTCTCTTTGTTGTCATTTATCTCTGAAGATAACCTTTTATACCTATACAATATTTATGCTGTTTGTCTTGGAGTTCAGACACATCTGAATGGTAACAAAGCTTAATGTACTTGAAAAGAGTAACAGTGCAGATAACCAGCTTAGGTGCTGAATAGGCAAATAGGTCACTGAATATAGCTAAAGAATTGCCTGAATCTGTATTACAATACAGTGGTACAAGTTGTGTGCTGCCACTG